CTCTATGGGGCGCCTGGGTGGCTCAGTCGGTTAAGCGTCTGCCTTCGACTCAGATCCCAGGGTCCTGGGATCAAGTCCCACATTGGGCTCCCTGTTCCGTGGGGAGCCTGCTTCTCCCTCTGCCTCTGCCTCTCTCTCTCTGTCTCTCATGAATAAATAAATAAAACTTAAAAAAAAAAAAAGTAGGGGCGCTTGGGTGGCTCAGTCACTGAGCGTCTGCCTTCGGCTCAGGTCATGATCTCAGGGTCCTGGGATCGAGCCCTGCATCGGGCTCCCTGCTCGCAGGAAGGCTGCTTCTCCCTCTCCCACTCCCCCTGCTTGTGTTCCTTCTCTCACTGTCTCTCTCTGTGTCAAAATAATAAATAAAAATCTTAAAAAAAAAAAAAGGTAAAGAGAACTCTAAAGAACATAGGATCAGCAGATATAAAGTTCACAGACCACCTCTGACGCTGAGGTAGAGCACCCAGGCTGAGAACCGACCTTGCTGGAGAGGACATGGCTGTGGGTAATTGGATGGCACAGAATTTGCTTGGTGCTGTGCAATAGTAGTTGCTGGAAATTTGCCCTCCAGAATTTGCTGGAAACCTATCTTCTGAGCTGCCAAAGAAAGTCATTTCACAGAAAGGTGTCTCACTGGAGGCACCCAGCTACAAAGCCAACCAAAGGGTGTTTCCGGGAGAAACTACATGGCTCCTGGGTGCTGCTAACCACTGTTACTGTAGGAGCCAAGTTCTGGAGGAGCTACATGAGCTGCAGAGCCATGGTGCTGGAAAAGTCATCTGCACTGCAAGAGCTGGGCACTGAGGAATCCAGGCATACTGCAGGAGCCTGCTGGAATACACCAGAATAAGAAGGAAAACCCCTTCCTCACGCAATTGCTCTCCAGAGCTCACAGCTGGCAAAGCTTAACATTGCACCACCTGACAAAGGAAAAATTACTTTTATAGGATCCAGCTCCATTTTTGCACAGCAAGCAATGAAGAGTGAATGTGGAACCAAGAAGCAATAAATCTGTAAACAGCAAGACCCCTTCCTATTGATCATAGCTGCTGGAGTACCACAGAGGCTAGAAATCAACATGTCAAGGAAGGTTCAGAATGAAGAAGTGTATATTCAAGCCCTTTGCCCATTTTTAAACTGGGTTGTTTTTGTTGTTGTTGATGAGTTTTATACATTCTGGATCTGAATCCCTTCTCAGATACATGGTTTGCAAATATTTTCTCCCATTATGTAGGTTGTTTTTTCACTCTCTTGATAGTGCCCTTTGATGCACAAAAGTTTTCAATTTTAATGAAGTTTCAACTTACCTATTTTTTCTTTTGTTGCCTGTGTTTTAGGGTCATATCCAAGAAATCATTGCCAAATCCAATGTCATGAACTTTCCCCCTATGTTTGCTTCTAAGAGTTTTATAAAGTCTGGTCTCATGTTGTTCTTTGATTTACTTTAAGTTAATTTTTGTATATGATGTAAGGTAAGGGTCCAACTTCATTCTTTTGCGTGTGAATATCCTGTTTACCCAGCACCATCTGCTAAAAACCACTTGACCATATATGCTTATTTCTGGGCTCTCTCTTCTATTCCATTGGTCTGTATGCCTGTCTTTATTCCAGTACCGTACTGTTTTGATTACTTTAGCATCGTAGTTTGTTTTGAAATCAGGGAGTATGAGTCCTCCAAATTTTTTTTTTCCCAAGATTGTTTTGACTGTTCAGGATCCTCAGGATCGGCTTTTTCTATTTCTGAAAAAAAAAAAAAAAAAAAAAAAAAAGTCATTGTGTTGTGATAGGGATGGCATGGAATCCGCAGATCACTTTGGGTAGTATGGAAATCTTAACAATATGAAGTCTTCTAATTCATGAATTTGTTTTTCTATTTTTTAACATCTTCTTTAATTTAAAAAAAAATTTTTTTAAGATTTTATTTTTAGTGATCTCTACACCCAATGTGGGGCTCAAACCTACAACCCCAAGATCAGGAGTCACATGTTCTACTGACTGAGCCAGCCAGGCACACCTATTTACATCTACTTTAAATTTTCAGCTATGTTTTGTAGTTTTCAGTGTTCAAATCTTCTGCCTCCTTGATCAAATCTGTTCCCAAGTATTTTATTCTTTTTGATGCTATTATAAATGGAATTTTCTTAATTTTCTTTTCAGGTTGTTCATTGTTGATGAAAAATGTGACTGATTTTTCAATGTTGATTTTTCTTTCTGTAATTCTGCCAAATTTATTAGTTATAACAGTTTTTTTGTGTGTGTATGTGTGGACTCTTTAGACTTTTCTACATATAAGATCATGTTATCTGCAAACAAGAATAATTTTACTGCTTCCTTTCCAATATATATGCCTTTTATTTCTTTTTCTTGCCTAATTTTTCTGGCTAGAACTTCCAATACTGTACTGAATAGAAGTGGTGAAAGCAGGCAAACTTGTCCTGTTCATGATCTTAGCGGGGGATTGTTTTCAGTCTTTTACCATTGAGTGTGATGTTGTTAGTTGTGGGTTTTTCACATACGGCATTTTTTACATTGAGTAAGTTTCTTTCTATTCCTAGCTTGCCAAGTCTTTTATCATAAAAGGGTGATGAATCTTCACAGATGTTTTTTCCGCATCAACTGAAATGGTCATATGGTTTATTTTTTTCTATTCTGTTAATATGGTGTATTACATTAATTTTCTTATTTTTTATTAAAGTATAACTGACATATGACATCATATTAGTTTTAGGTGTAAAACACAACAATTTGATATTTGTTTACACTGTGAATGATCACCATAATAAATTTAGTTAACTTCCGTCATCATACATAATTACAAAAAAATTTTTTCTTGTGATGAGAACTTTTAAGATCTACTCTAGCAACTTCCAAATATGCAACACAGTATTATTAACCATAGTCACCATGATAGACATTACATCTCCATGACTTATTTATTTTATAACTGGAAGTTTGTTGATTTTCTTACACTGAAACATCCTTGCATTCCAGGAACAAATCCCACATGGTCTTGGTCTATAGTCCTGTTAATATGCTGCTAAATTTTCTTTACTAGCAAATTTTGTTGAGGATTTTTGCACCAATGTCCGTAAAAGATATTGGTTTATAGTTTTCTTATAGTATCTATCTGGCCATTTAGGAGGGTAATGCTGACCTAATAGAATGAAATAGGAATGTCCCTTCCTCTTTAGTTTTTTGGAAAGAGTTTGAGAAGGACTGGTGTTGATTCTTCTTAAGGTTAGTAGAATTCACCAGTGAACCCATCTGGTCAAGGACTTTTCTTTGTTGGAAGGTGTTTGATTACTGATTGAATCTTCTTACTAGTCATTAATTTATTCAGCTTTTCTATTTCTTCATGATTCAGTCTTAATAGGTCTGTGTTTCTAGGGATTTATCCATTTCATCTAGGTTATCCAATTTGCTGGTGTAAAATTGTTCATAGTACTCTCAGAGTTTTTTTTTTTTATTTCTTTTAGATTGGTAAAATGTCTCCACTCTCATTTCTGATTTTAGTAGTTTGAGTCCTCTCTTTTTTTTCTTAGTCAATCTAGCTAAATGTTCGTTAACTTTGTTGATCTTTTCCCAAGAACCAACTTTTGGTTTGGCTTATTTTCTCTATCATTTTTCTATTCTCTTTCTTATTTATATCCACTCCAATCTCTAACATTTCCTTCTGCTAGCTTGGTGTATAATTTGCTCTCCTTTTTCTGGTTCTTTACAATGTAAAGTTAGGTTGTTGATTTGAGTCCTTTCTTATTTCATGTATATGTTTACAGCCATAAATTTCCTCCCTAGCACTACTTTTTCTGCATCCCTTAAGTTTTGGTATATTGTTATTCTGTTTTCATTTTTCTCAAGGTGTTTTCTAATTTCCCTTGTGATTTTTTTTCTTTGATCCATCAGTTGTTTAAGGGTGTATAGTTAATTTCAACATATTTGCCGATTTTCCAGTCTTCCTTCTGTTATTATTTTCTAGCATCATTCCAGTATAATCAGAAAAGAAATTATGTATGATTTCAATTAAGACTTGTTTTGTGGCCTAACATATGGTCTATCCTGGAGAATGTTCCATGGGCATTTGAGAAAAATGTGTATTCTGCTGTTGTTGGTTCAACTGTTCTATACATGTCTGTTAGGTTTAATTGGTTTACATTGTTGTTCAAGTCTCTCTCTCTTTTTTTTTTTTGAGTAGACTCCATGCCCAGTGTGGAGTCCAATGCAGGGCTTGAACTCACAACCCTGAGATCAAGACCTGAGCTGAAATCAAGAGTTAGATCCTTAACCAGCTGAGGCACCCCAATTCTTCTATTTTCTTATTGATCTTTTTTCTGGTTGTTCTATCCATTACTGCAAGTGGGTATTGATATGTCCAGCTATTATTGTAAAGCTGTTTATTTCTCCTTCAACTCATTGTTTCCTTCATATACTTTGGATCTCTGGTATTTTATACATGTATGTTTACAATTATTCTATCTTCTTGTAAATGTATCCTTTTATCAATATAAATGTCCTTCTTTGTCACTTGTAACAATTATTGACTTAAAGTCTTTTTTGTCTCATATTAGTATAGCTACCCCAGCTCTCTTCTGGTTACCATTTTTAAAAAGATTTTATTTATTTATTTAAGAAAGAGAGAGAGCACAAGCTGGGGAGAGAGGCAGAGGGAGAGGGAGAAGCAGACTCCCCTCTGGGCAGAGAGCCTGACATGGGGTTCGATCCCAGGGTTCTGGGATCATGACCTGAGCTGAAGGCAGACACTTAACTGACTGAGCCACCCAGGTGCCCTTCTTCTGGTTTCTTTTTCCATCCTTTCATTTTCAATCTATTTGTGTCCTTAGATCTAAAATTAATATCTTGGGGGGCATCTGCAGGGAGCCTGCTTCTCCCTCTCCCTCTGCCCCTCCTCCCTGGTCTTGCTCTCTCTCTTAAATAAAAAAAAAATATTTTAAAGATAGAAGTACATAAAAGATTACATGAAGTCAATCAAAGGCAAACTAAGAATGGAGACCAAAAAGACTAAAAACTTTTATGACGGGCTGCAGAATAAATCAAGCACATCCTTGCTAATTTCAAAAACTACCAGTTTTATTGGTGAAAACATGAATCCAGATGGAATGGTTGCTCTGCTGGACTATTGTGAGGATGGTGTGACTCCACATATGATTTTCTTTAAGAATGGTTTAGAAATGGAAAAATGTCAATTAATTTGGCTATTGCTTTGGATGTATCACTTGTCATAACTGGCTGCTGCTCTTCATCCACACAACACCAGGACTTAGACATCTGATATCATCTTAAATTCTTCATTAACTTGACTTTGATTTATTTGGAGTGGAGGCATTGTTTTCAAGAAAAAAAAATGTCATGTAGGTTGTCTAAAAATAAAATGCATTTAAACTCAAAAATAGAATAAAATATAGGATATAGTTGGCTCATTTAAAAAAAAAATCTATTCTGCCGGGGCAACTGGGTGGCTCAGTTGGTTAAGCATCTGCCTTTGGCTCAGGTCATGATCTTGGGGTCCTGGGATCGGGCTCCCTCCCTCACGTTCTCTCTCTGTCTCAAATAAATAAATAAAATCTTTAAAAAATCTATTTTGCCAATCTATGTCTTTTGATTAGGGAGTTTTGTCCATATATGTTTAAAGTAATTGCTGAAAGGGAAGTACTTACTTTTATCATTTTGTTATTTGTTTTTGTATGTATTATAGAAAATTACACATATTATAGCTTTTTTTGTTCCTCATCTCTTTTATTATGGCTTTCCTTTATGTTTAATTTTTTTGTAGTGACACTTTTGAGTCCCTTCTCCTTTCCTTTTGTATTCTATAAATATTTTCTTTGTGGTTACCACAGGGATTGCATATCAAAGTTATAACAATCTATTTCAAATTGATACCAACTTGACTTCAATCACATACAGTCAAAAACTGCACTGGATACAACTAACACTATCTGTTATGGATATCACAAATTATATCTTTATGTATCATATACCCATTGACATAGATTTATAATTATCCCCCATGCACTTGTCTCTTAAATCCTGCAGAATATAAAAAGTGGAGTTACAAACCAAAATTATAACAATACTGGTTTTGGGCACCTGGGTGGCTCAGTTGGTTAAGCGACTGCCTTCGGCTCAGGTCATGATCCTGGAGTCCCGGGATCGAGTCCCACATCGGGCTCCCTGCTCAGCAGGGAGTCTGCTTCTCCCTCTGACCCTCTTCCCTCTCGTTCTATCTCTCATTCTCTCTCTCTCAAATAAATAAATAAAATAAAATAAAATAACAATACTGGTTTTATCTTTGCCCATGTATTTACCATTCACAGAGATCTTTAAATCTTTATATGGCTACAAGTTACTGTCTAGAACCCTTTCACTGTAACCTATAGGGCTCTCTGTAGCATTTATTGGAAGACAGGTTGAATGGTAATAACCTCCCTTAGCTTTTATTCATCTGGGAAGGTCTTATTTTCTCCCTCATTTTTGCTGGATGTAGAGTTCTCAGTTGACAGGTTTTTTTTCTTACAGCACTTTAAATATATAATTCCACTCCTTTTGGGCCTCCAAAGTTCTTGCTGATAAATTGGCTGCAAATTTTTTTTTTTTTTAAGATTTTAAAGTAATCTCTACACCCAATGTGGGGCTGGAACCCACAACCCCGAGATCAAGAGTCTCATGCTCCACTGACTGAGCCAGCCACATGCCCAGGCTGCAAATTTTATTGAGGATCTCTTGCACACGATGAATCACTTTTCTCTCACTGCTTTGTCTTTTCTTTTGATAGTGTGATTATAATGTGTTTTGGTGTAGTCTCTTTGGGTTTGATCCTATTTGGAGTCATTGAGCTTCTTGGACTTGTAGACCCATATATTTCCTCAAATTCGTGAAGTTCTTGGTCACTATTTCTCGAAATAATCTCTGCCTCTTTCTTCCTCATGTCTCCTTCTGGAACTCCCATAATGCATATATTGATCCGTTTGATGATACCCCACATGTTCCTTTAGCTCTGTTCACGATTCTTCATTTCTCTCCTCAGATTGGATAATTCCAAATGTCCTATCTTCAAGTTCACTAATTCTTTGCCTGCTCAACATCTGCTGTTGAGCCCCTCTAATTTATTTTTAAATTGTTATTGTATTTTTTAGCTCAAGATTTTTTTAGTTCCTTTTTATAATTCCTACCCCTTTTTAATATTCTCATTTTGTTCACATATAATATTCATGATTTCCTTTAGTTTTTTGTGTTTTTATTTAGCTCTTTTGGGGTATTTAAAGATAGTTTTTTTCAAGTCTTTATCTAGTAAGTCTGATGCTGTACTTTTTCAGAGATAGTTTCTGCCAATTTATTTTCTTCCTTTAAATGGGTCATGTTTTCCTGTTTCTTTGATGTCTTGTAATTCTGTTGGTATTGAAAATTGGGCATTAGAAAGAAACCATCTCTCCTAGTCTTTGCAGACTGGTATTGCACTCAAGCATTTCTTCTCTACTTATCTGGCTCTTCTCTAGACCTTGAGATCAGCTTGAGGTCCCTTCCGAGTAGGTGTCTTCCCTCAGCTTGTGTGGCTTTACTGATTCCCCTGTATACATGGCTACTTTTAAACGTCTTAATTTTCCAGAGTCTCATCCAGCTTCTCGGGGCTCTAGATGGTCTACTGTATATCTCCACCTATAATCTCTTCCCTCAGGCATCTGTAGGTCTATAGTCCCTCTGCAGCCTTCTTGAGCAGTGCCCACCACTTTTCCACCTGAGCTTTGGGTTAGACAAAGCAGATACAAGTCCTCAGTCACCAGGCAGGTTAGACTGTTACAAGTAAGATCTGCTCGGGGCGCCTGGGTGGTTCAGTCATTAAGCATCTGCCTTCGGCTCGGGTCATGATCCCAGGGTTCTGGGATCAAGCCTGCTCAGTGGGAAGCCTGCTTCTCCCTCTCCCACTCCCCCTGCTTGTGTTCCCTCTCTCACTGTCTCTGTCTCTCCATCAAATAAATAAATAAAATCTTTAAAAAAAAAAAAAAAACAAGTAAGTTCTGCTCTGCTCTCTCTGGTTTGAAGGAGGGAATTGGGGACTGGGCTGCTGCCTCTTTCAGATCAAGACCATTGCTATGCCATGAAAGATGTGGGGCAAGGACAAGTAAAAACAGTATAAAATTTCCTACTGTTTTGAATGTGATTTTTTTCTTGATTGGGTATTTATTATAACTGTTTACCAGAATTCCTACAGGATTATTTTAGCCAGTTTCTGGGTTTTTTGGTTTTTGTTTGTTTGTTTTAATGTCTTGTGTGGGAACAAGAGCTTGGAGCTTCCTAGGCTACTATTTTGCTGTCACTTTTGGTGTCTTCATTTTGCCCTTTGCTCCAATACCACCTCCTCAAAAAGAACTTCCGTGTCTAAAATATCACATTCATGACATCTTCATGCTGCATATTTCTTAATTGCACTTATCACTGAGAGATCATATATTACATATTTTTTATGGTCTGCCTCTTCTAGAATAAAATGCATGAGAGCAGGGAACTTTATCCTAAAAGTCTAAAACAGTATCTAGCACATGATACATGTTTAGTAAATATATTTTGAATGAATGAATGAGGTTTAAATTATTTAAATTTCACTCATTTTCATTAATAGTTTTTAATGGTTTTGGTTGTTTATACATATATATATATGTATTTATTTAATAGGCATATATTTTATACCTACTGTGAGCTGGAGATGGGGATGGGGCAAACGTGTTTCTAATCTTATAGGGGAGCTAGACAAATCCACGAGTAATGCAAATGCATGAATAAATGGGGAAGAGAAAGACGTGTTGAATATAAGCCGTAGTCAGCTCTGAGTTTGCGAATGACCGGCCTGAATCTCCATTTTTCTTTCCACTACTTTATGAGGTAGTTGCCATACTTCTTTAGAAAGTGATGAGATAGAGCTTTATAAACTGTGTGTGCATGGTTATGCTAACATGAGGAATTAAAGTTGCTCCTGGAGCATGATTGTTAGTTGTTTATCCCCTGGATCTGGAGTCAAACCACTAAATAAGGTACAAAGTCCACTTTAAAATCTTACTGCAATGGTATCATCAGAATCAATTCAGAGTTCTAGG